CGTTCTTATCCTAAAAAACTTGCCTTTCAATACCTTGAAGACCTCCGAAATGAATTTGAGCGTGTCAATGCAACCCAAATAGAAACAGCAGCCAGACCTTATGCCTTCATTAAATTTGGTTGGTTCCTTCTTCACTTTATGTATTTATCTGCTCTCCTTGTGCAATTGGTGTTTTTTCCAATTTTTTGGATGCTTCTCTTACTGGGTTTTGAATTTTTTTTTATTTTTTTTTTATTTTTTGTGGTTTGAAGATACATTCATTCAAAAAACCAAGAAATTGTATCAGGACACGCGTACTCAACGGAATATAGCAAAGTTAAATGATGAACTCTATGAAGTCCACCAAATAATGACTCGAAATGTACAAGAAGTTCTTGGTGTTGGTGAAAAGTTGGACCGTAAGATCTTGTATCTGTTTCAGAATTGTTTTCTCTTATATCATGTATAAGAATCACTTGTTTTTTGTTTTGGGTCGGTGCATAAGAATGGATGCTTGATTTTACCATCATGATGTAGGTTAGTGTGTTTTGTTGCTGTATTGTTTTCATTTTAATTCTTGGTGGTTAAAACAAAATCTTAACATTATCACTTCATCATGGGGTGGTGGATGTTTCAAATCACTTATATATGTGTATGTGCTGGTGCATGTCTGTTTACACAAACAGATGTATGTGTGTAACAAACCTATATCTAGAGTTTATTTATCTTTTGAAGGAAAATTGACATGTCTTCAATGTGTGCTTGTGCTTGTGCTTGTGTTTGGTTATTGTCCATTTGATGATAGGATTTAGTTGGTCTTTAAGCATTAAGGTACTTAGAATTCTTGAGTCCTTTGCATCTTATTTCACATTTATCAAATTGAAACTCTTGCTGCCTTTGATCTTTTTGGTTGTTAGATTTATGGGAGTTCACACCTGATGTTTTCTTCTTTAATAGTTATTGCTTATGGTATCAGAACAAAACTTCATCTTCTTCGCATTTAGTTGCCTTGTTAGTTTACTTCCTTTTTTCCCTAGAAAATCGAACTTGTAACTTTTTCTTCTTCACTATTGATTCTAATTTTGACCATTATCTTTCTTTTTCTTTCTAGCTCATAGATGTTATTGTTGTTCTACTTGCTAAGGGTTGATTCTGTTTTCTGTTGATAATGCAGAGGTTAGTCAAATGTCCAGCCGGTTAACATCAGAATCTCGCATATATGCTGACAAAGCAAAGGATCTAAATCAGCAGGTCAGTTTCTCTAAGAAGTTGATGCTGTGTGGTAGTCTTTTTCTTGTTAATGGGGTGGCAGCTGGGCAGGTAGAGAAGCTGAAAGTATATGAATGCAAGGTTTATTTGAGGAAGCACCGATTGCAATTAAGTGGAAACAAAGATGTGCTTATTCAGCGTATAAAGGAGCATCTAGAGTAATCTCTGTCACCTTTAATGCAGTGGATTTCACTGGATTATATAAATGGAGCTTGGCTATTTTTCTCTTGCTTAATTTCTAGTATCATATGATTATGAATAAGCAATACTTAATTAATTTTTTTGGGTGTTGTTTCTTTTCCAATTCTCATTGACATATGTAGTGTTGAGAAACACCAAGAACAAAAGGAGATAGATTTGTCAGAGCTCAATGAGAAAATTTATGAAACAGTTGAAAAGATTATAAAAGGTATCTTTTGTTCCTGAAAAGTCTTTATTTTTATTTTTACTTGTGCTTGAAATGTGACTTTTTCTTGTTAATGGGGTGGCAGCTGGGCAGGTAGAGAAGCTGAAAGCAGATCAATGCAAGGTTTATTTGAGGAAGCACCGATTGCGATTAAGTGGAAAGAAAGATGTGCTTATTCGGCGTATAAAGGAGCATCTAGAGTAATCTCTGTCACCTTTAATGCAGTGGATTTCACTGGATTATATAAATGGAGCTTGGCTATTTTTCTCTCGCTTAATTTCTTAATATTTCAGGATTTTAAATGTTGGAGGTGAGAAGAAGTATCCAGTATCCAGCTTTGTGTTGAACTGTAAAGGTACTAAAGGTACATATTTGAGCTCCTGGTTAAATAAATTTGAGGGTTTTAACTAACTTGTAAATTAGGAGATTTGATTTCTCTAGACTTCTAGCAGTTAATATAAGTTCATTTTAATGTTTGTAAG